TAAACCCTTCCCACACTCTTGCAGTATTCTAAGCAATGTTTCTAAACTCTTAACGCTCTAAAAGAGCACAGAAAGTCATGATTTCAGCTCCCTGTCTCGGCTGCTCTTTGCCACCTGCAAGCAGTCTTGGCCACGCCCCCTTCTCCGCTTTGCACAGAAAACAGCTGATCAGCTGCAGAATGAAGCTTATCCTTCAGTGTGGGCTGCACACATGTGCAGCAGGTGCTAAATATTTTAAAATAATATATTTTAAATAAAAATTCCACGCCGATCATGCGGCTCATCCATCAATCAGCCAATTGTGTCATGTCCAATCTTATTTTGAAAAACTATGATAGAGCGAGTGCGTGAAAAACGAACCGTGAAGTAGCGATGGATTACTGTATTTCAAAAACATTGTTTATTTTGTAATCTGTTTTATCATTTTCATTATAACTTTTGTATTTTATTTAACCTTTTGAAATTTTTAGCTTTTTGCTTGTCTTTTTCAACTTTTAGCTTCAAGTTGTCATTGGGGGGGTTTAGCTTCTAGGGAAACTCTTGTGTTTTTGTTTTGTTTTTTTTTGTTTTTTAGCTAAACTTTAGTTATTTTTATATCTTAACTAGCCTTCTGATATTTTTGGCTAGCATTGGGCATTTTTGCTTTATGCTAGACTTTTGCTATTTTTACATTTTAGATAGCATTTTTCTGCCTTTAGCTTCTAGTTGTTGTTTTGCTGTTGCTACATTCTTGATAGCCTTTTGTTGTTTTAGCTAATCTTTTGCTCTATTTAGGTAGCTATCTGCTACTTTTGACTAGTGTTTAACTTTCTTTAGGTTTTAGCCATTTTTTTAAATAAGTTTTAGCTCGTGTTTTGCAGTTTTTGCCTTTAAGAGCTCAGTTTCAGCTTCTTCAGCAAATGTCATTGAAGTCCTTCAGTGCTCAGTGATGTTAGAAGGTAAAGCAATCTATAGTTGACTATAAAAGTATATTAGATTATGATTTTTGTTATGTATTAGTCTGAACAGCTAAAAAAAAATACTTTGTTAAAAGTTATTGTTTGCAGTCAATTTAATGTTGTCTTCTTTAGTTATACCATTTTAAATTATTGAATACAGAATGATTAATAGAAAAAGTTTGCATTTTCTCAGTGATTGGCGTTTTTCTGCTTCCCAGGAGCTGCATGTGATCAGCACAGACGAGAACCGTGTGGTGGCCGCCGTTCAGGAGTGGAACCAGAATGAAACCTACAACCTGTATGTGTCGGACACCTCGGGGGTCTTCTACACGCTGGCCCTGGAGAACGTGGTCAGCAGCATGGGCCTGGAGGGGAACGTCATGGTCGACCTCTATGAGGTAAACAAACATCTGTGCGCCAACGGCAGGACGATCTAAGATCTGTGAACCGTTGGGCTGGATGGCGTATGATGCCAGATATTCCACGGATCCCTGAGTGTCTTTATTGAAACCTTCAAAAAAATAACCATTTGATGAACAATTGTTGTTGGTGTCAATACAATTCAAGATGGCTGCCGCAGCCAACTGACCTTTGAAGACACAGATATGGTTATAATTAAGCTATCTGTGCTAATATCAAGCTGACCATCATCCTCAAACGCCACACATTGCACAACGGTTTTACCTCAATCTTTGGCAGCGACTGTTGGAGTCAACTCTGTTAGTAAAATATCTAATGAGCAACCTGTTGGATGTTAATCATTGGCTATGCATAGTCAACCTATTACATACATTTGTTTTCAAGGATTGACCTAAATGGCTCCAGTATTGTCATTTCTCAACAATTTCATCAATTTATTGGCAGCATAGAAAATAAACATTGTTGTTTCAATTTTCATTTTATTTTATGGATCTTAGTAGAAAGCAGCTCAAAAGTTCTTACATTGATACGAAGGGATCTCCTTCTTAAATACAGAATGTATTAAGCTAAGACGATTGTTTTGTTGATAATTAACTGCCTCTTATCTAGAAACTAAAGGGCAAATATTGAGTCTGTAGCTTAGGTATAAAACATTTTTTAAAAACAAACGACACTCAGTCTGAATCTTTATCTCAGAATCTAATAATTAAGTTAGAGATAATGCAGCTCATGTCTTGCAGCGGCCCCACAGATAGAATTGAATCCACCGTCTTGATTGGGGTCGCCACCCATGACGAAGGATATGCTAAATCTCTCCTCTGAGCGAGACTGAAGTATCTGTCATTTACTAAAGTGGACTTTCATTGCCTGATGCAACTGTCACCGACTCAATTCAGCATCCTCGCGCTGCACCAGGGGCCTCCAGCTCGCAGTCAGATTCATTTAAGGCACACATTGATTACTCACAAGTCTCCAGACAGTCGATCATTTTCCACTCAGCGTTTGTCGCCGTGTTTGGTTTTGTTGGGAATACAGACCAGGTCTCGAGGCGAGTGATTTGCTTTCCAGCATATTGCTTTTATTTCCTTCAGAGCTACTTGAAAATGTGAACGTGATCATATTCTCTGGACATATGAGGCCCGCCTGGTTTTTCTCTCAGAGCTGTTTCCTGTGTGATCTCCCAGGTAGCGGGAATAAAGGGAATGTTCCTGGCAAACAAAAAGACGGACAACCAAGTGAAGACGTACATCACCTACAACAGAGGCAGAGACTGGAGGTTGCTGCAAGCCCCGAGCAAAGACCTGCGGGGCGGCAGCATTCACTGTGTGCTGGTGAGTGTTGGGATGTTACGTGCTTTTATGTGTGCGTCCATCAAAGGCAGGTCCTGACAGCAGTAGACCGATCCCAACAGCTCAGAAAGAGCTCCAGGCCGTCAAAGCTGAGTGGCTCTGAGGCTGCCAAGCTGAAAGGTCACACCTTCGGATTCAGTCCAATGGGCTGACCTCCCATTTAAGAAACTCAGGGAGGGAGATGCTTCAGACGGAAAGGTTTTCCCTTCAACTGTCTGTCTCCCTGAGAACCTCAGAAAGTTGGGAAGGCTATTCATAGTTTGACCGAAAGCCAAAGTTCAACACTCTGTGTAAACAGCTCGGCTGTGTTTGCTAACGCAGAACTCCTTTCGTCTAACACTGCTGTAAGTCCTGAAGTAATCACCTTTTTTTGTTTTTTTGATGTACCAATTAGAAATTCCGTGGCATTTTTCGCCTTCTTTCCGTATTATACAGTCATTTGTCAGGAAATGTCAGAGTTTTAATAAACCTTGGAACAGCCCGTCAAAACACGGCCTGCTCCGATGGCATTTTGCCGGCTTGTAATGAGAATTGTGTCTGTAAAGGTTAACCCAATCAAAATTAATGGCGAGGCCAGCCAATGGGGGAATTGTGTTTGTGATGAAACTTATGACTTGGGAGGCGTTTGTGGAGCCGAGTCGATGCAACATTCGATGCGCCTTTGAGGTTCTCCATTGGTTCAGGCGAGAAACTTCCGCTAATTGAGTTTTTGACTTCTCGCTCTGCAGCCGTACTGCTCGTTACATCTCCATCTCCATGTGTCTGCAAACCCCTACACGTCTGGAAACATCGCCAGCAGGGAGTCGGCGCCAGGGATCATCGTTGCTTCAGGTGGGCGTGAGGGGAACCTCCTCACAATGAGGCCGTTTCTCTTTCCTGTTTACACTTCCTCTGTTAATTATTAAAATATTTTGCTTTTAGCTGAAATCATCTATTTTATTAGTGCTTAGAAGATGTTTTATTACCCCCTGACATGATAGGCATGATTTCTTCTCCCTGTTAGCAAAATATCTCAAGAACCAGAGAACAGAATGGAATGGAATGCGCAGAAAGTAATTATCGGCCCAACATTTCCTAATGCTAGTTCTTGCGTTAAATTAAACCAAGGCACACTTTAGGCGCAATGCGCATATGGGAGCAACGTCCTGAAGGCATGGAAACCTCAATTATGAACATGATCATGTCAGATAATTTAATCATCTCTGACTTCACACATGCTGACACGCACAGCCTCTGTATTAACCAGCGTGCTGCATGTGATGTCACGTCTTCTTCTTCATATCCAGGAATACTTCCTGAAAGTTTCAATAGTTTGTCTAGTGGTTCATAAGATATTGTGACAATTGCGGCTATGCCCAAATATAAGGACCAATGAGAACAGAGACCAAGACTCAGAATCAGTTTATAGTGTTTATTTACAAGGTAAGATATAAGCAATAAGCCAGGGGAGCGGCTGGAACCCTGAGGAGCAGAGAGAAAGTTAGAGTCTAGGACAGGGGTGTCCAACTCACTTACAAAAGAGGGCCAAAATTAAAACCTTTTTCAAACTAAGGACCAATTTCAGAATCTACCTGAACTCAAATGAGATATGCAACCTCTTTTCTTGGCCACAGGTTCCTCAACAAGAGTTTGATGGGCCTTATTTGATGTTCTCTGCTAGGCTTTTGACATCATAATCAAAGATTGCTTAAAAATTCGAGAGATAGTAGTATATTATGTTTCACATATCATCTTGAGGGCCAGACAAGACGTCAACAAGGGCCACATTTGGCCCCCGGGCCTTGAGTTTGACACATATGGTCTATGATGTCCAGGGCGATAATCGTATTGCAGTTCTCTCTCACGTTGGTGGTTGAGGTCAGACGTGGGGAGAGTAGACCCAAATGGTTCCAGGTGGAAAAGGTGCCGGTGAAAGGCAAGCAGTAGAAAGATGTGGAGGTGGCTGATGAGGCACAGAGGAGCTTGAGATCTGCAGAGGAGATTTCAGGAACACATGACATCAAAGGTAACTTGCTGGAGGCACAAAAAAAATGCACAAGTCATTAATATTTAGCTTGGACCACAAATAGAAGGCTAGAACAAGACTACCGTTGGCAGGTAATGCTCCAGCGCTGGATGAGTGTCTTCTGAGGCCTCTTGTTCTCCTCATGCTCATCAAGTCGCGGGACCACAGGTGTGGCTAATTAGAGTCTGATTGTGGCAGAGCAGAACTCCCACAGATATTAAGGTCACAAACAAGGATTCTCACAAAATACATTATCATCCGCCCTGGCCTTTAAGCAGCAGGTGGTGTTGACTAGATATTTATTTACAACTGATGGCTGACATGCCTAATCAGTCTTAGACAAAACCAACGTAGCTATAACTCTTTCAGTTCTAGACAGTTAAAATTTGGTGTGGTAGTAGCTGAGGGTCATCCCCAACCCACACCCTGAACTCAAACATCTCACACGAAAACATGCACGTCGGGTTTTTTCTTTACACATCGACCATAAAGTCAACTCTTTGTCAACATGAAAAAAACATCTCTGTTTCAAACTTTGACATGAAGGGCGGCGGGCGCTATGCATTCCTTTAGGGCTTCTCTAAATTTATATATTTAAAAAACAGGCGATTAAAACAAATGCATTACTTTGAGCGTGAGGCAGAAAACAAATCAACCTCAAAAAGAATGTCAAAATTCAGTTTTTTTTTTTGCTGTGTCTTTGTGTTCATAATAATTCTGAGTCACGTTTTTCATAATCAAGAATCTTTTGAACTCCTAGTGTATGCATGAGCAAGGGGCCGCAGTAGCTCAGTGGTCAGTGCTGCGATCTGAGGCTGCAGGTTTGAGTCCGGGTTGCATCCAGAGGGGCATCCACCATAAAACAATTGACAAATCTTTCATGTGTTTGCTCACCAAGAAGCAAGAAGCTGAAAAAAAAACCTATAACGTTTTATGCTTGAGCAGTTTTGATGACTTTGTGCTTCCTCAAAGAAACCTCAAAAACCCTCAAAGCAACAGAGCTGTTTGACATTTGTTTGTTTGAGCGTGATACAGATGTCCTCCATTAGCTCCAGCTGCATGTTTCATTCTTCTGTAGCCTCCCAGCATCAGATTGGGACTCCAGCAACTATCAGGAAACAACTTTTTCTTATCTTTGAACAGAAGAAAACCTCTCGACTGAAACCTGCAGCGCCCAGAACTATCACACGCCGAGTGACATTCCTGAAACAAAGCGATGACTCTCTGAGTCAGAAATAAAAAAAATGGTGCTACGTGACATCAACGGCCCTCCAGGTGGATTCACACGCTGGTGATATTTCCTCCCACATGATTCAGCACTGTCAGTAACTCATCAGCACACCTCAGGTGTCTGCAGAAGGCCGAGCTCACCGCGTCTGAGACGCCTCCGCAACAACCAACACGTTGAGCTTGACTCACTTCAGACTTTGTTTGAAATTAAAGATCTAGCATTGCACCATCTTTCATGCCAGGGTTTGAGATTAAGATTATTGTTGGTTATCATGCCAAAAATCTTGCTAAATATCTTGAAAATTAGCAGAGTTACATCCATTTTTGTATTATCTAAAATCATTTGGGTGTGGCTGCCATCTTGAACTGGGTGGACCTTAAAGGGCCTGTGCCATGCATATGCTACAAAATGCAAAAAGGGAAGAAAACATCTCAATGCATTGTGAATTTGGCACAAAACACATGGTTTTTACACATTCGGTGACATAACTGGCATATTTTCTTTTTAACTTGATGCAGCCAAAGTTAAACAGGAAGTGACATCAAAGGAAATTTTTGTGGTCTTTGTTTATTGAAACTTTTATTTGAACTCTGACTCTTCGTCTCTCTCGGAACATGACTCAAAATAATCTAAAGAAACATCAGATTCTCCTCTGCTGTCGGTGTTAGCCATTGCAGTGACGTTGCGTTCTTTGCAGGAGTTCCCCTTTGACATCACTTCCTGTTACTCTGCATGAGAATATCTCAACAGCTGCTCATCTCAGCAGTGTGAGAAAAAAAAAATCAATACATTATTAATGTTATCTTTACAAAAATACATTCATGTTTATTATGAAAACTTTATGTCACAGTCCCTTTAAAACATCAAAGTTCATGCTCAGTCATCCAGGTACAAAATCCAATAATGGTCAATCAGGTCATCTGGACAGTTTATTTTTTTGGAAAGACATTTCGCCCTCTATCCTGAGGGCTTCGTCAGTCTGAGGAGTCCCACGTAAACTGTTTTCCCCACTAAGCAGTACTCTCCTTTAGTGGACCAACCAGTTTGCTGGTGATAACCACAAACTGTTACTGATAACCAGCAAACCAACCAGATTACTTGGGACTCCTCAGACTGATGAAGCCCTCCGGATAGAGGGTGAAACGTCTTTCCACAAAAAAGAAACTGTACAGATGACCTGATTGACCATTATTATTGGAGTCCCTTTAAAAGTTCATAAATTGTAGATTGTCAACAAGTGATTACTTTATAACGTTTCCAGTTACAAAGTAAATCAGTCCAGTGGTTCTTGAGATATTTTGTTAACAGTACAGGCAATTGAACGCACAGAATCACAAGCCATAACATTATGACCATTGAGACTTTTCCTTTTTGCGTTTTAATTTGAGAGCTAAATATTTTTTATTGATTATTATGACAACTTTACTGACGGAGTGTCCAGCAGGGAAAGGAGCACATAAAGAAATACTCTGTGAATGCTACAAGCAGCCATAAAATCATAATTGGTTTGTTGTAAATGGAAAATTAATGCATGTTTTTGTCCATAAAAGCACTTTTCCGGTGAGATTGTTGTTGGAATTTAATTACTCTCAATGCACCATAAAAAAATTAGAAACTGAATGAGGCGTTTTTATTTTTTTTAAACGTTGATGGACACAATTTATGAGTTTAATCCTAAAACTGTGATCTGATTTTTGATTTTCAGCTGCAATGTGTGAAGAAAAATGTTCTTTAAGGTGGGTTCATGCAGGGGGGCAGTCATGCCTGTGAAAATGTGCCACCTGGCACCAATTACAGGCTGAATTAAAGCAATTGCAGCCTTTTGCTGTGGATTGGGAAAGCTTGTCTTAATGTGGTCAGAACTGCTGAAAGTTGAAAACAGTAATCAGGATTTATTGGTTAATTCTGGAGCTCGGGCAAATGTCACGCAGCACCGCAGATCTGCTGAAGCACTGCAATTACAGCCGTGGTCTGCAGCTGCAGAGTGGAGCCCCCCTGTGCAACCCCACTCCTGCTGTACATTTCCTGTAAAAAAAAAAGTTGTATTTGGTTGAAAATGAACTTTAATTCCTAGATCTACATTAATGCTGCTCCCCGTTCTGTTGCCCCGCAGGCTCCATCGGCGCGGAGCTGACCAGCAGTAACGTCAGCGTGTTCATCACCTCGGATGCAGGGAACACCTGGAGACAGGTGAGGGCTCCTTAGTGCTGGGGTGTCCTGCTGTTGGCTTCAAATGTAACCTGCCATGTGAGTCCAGTCACTTATGTGGTGACGTGGACGTATAAAATAAAATGACAGCGCTTCTGTTGTGAATGTACTGTTGTTGTAGGGAGAGAAAAAACTTGTTTACCTTCAAGGCTGTTGAACATGCCTCCCCTGGCATCAGCTGACTGACACTTCCTGTCTGTACTGGTGTCACGAGGTGGGCTGATGTCGGCCTCCGTGGTGCCAGACCTTAAAGGTAGCTGTCTCTCTTTCAGCTGATGTCAGGGCACCAGACGTGCAAGGCGGTGCAGTGGAGGAGCAAAGGAACCTCCTCACTTCTGACACATTTCAAACCTGTAGAATAATTCCAGATTATTTATTCTATCAGTGCGTATGATTGGTTGCCTCGTCGGTTCTTGCTTTGTAAACCGTTTACAGACTTGGAAAGGGTTTTTGCAGCTTTCCAAATTCAAGCAACTGAGAGCAAAGAGCGCCGTTATTTTGGTGAAACAGTAGAAACATTATTTTACAAATTTATTTCCCTAGCAGAGTTTCTAGAAATGTTTTATTCATCGTTGATTGATTAAATCCACTCAACATGATTCTTTGAAGAGCATCCGTAAAACTAATCCAGGAAGTTTCAGTCAAACCAGAAATAAAGTATTTTTAAAAAATGTTGCGTCATCACCGTACCCTTTCCCTGAACCTTTCTTCTCCACACAAAATATAACAAATATTACCCTTGAATTTTTTTTATCTCCAAGTGCTTTTAGTGTTGTTACAAAGAATAACTCTTAAACATGCTTCCGATATTATTTTTCATTGTTACAAAGTATCTGTCCTGCAGCGATGTCCTGTTTTCGGATGATTGTTCCCTCTCGTATCAGATGCTGTGCAGCTGGAAGGATTTTTACTGAAACCTTTTTACTTTGGACATTTGTTATGATGCATAACCAACAAGGTGTTTTTAAACAACCAGGAGCAGCTGATTAACATCTCAAAAGCTCAAATACCTCAACTATAGCCCCAAATTAGTTGAAAAGGAGGACCCGTTGACAAATTCCCGTCAACCTGGCGGCGGTGCTCAAGTGCCTGGCTGCCGAGATCCTGGAGCTGGTAAGAGGTTTGGCTTGTGACGGCGGGAGGATCGGGATCATCCCACGGCACCTTCAACTGTCTGTCCATGGTGACAAGGAGCTCGGCACACTGCTGGGGGGAGTGACCATCGCTCAGGGAGGAATTCTGCCTGGCATTCGTGCAGTCCTGCTGCCCAGGAGGACCGAGAGGCCCGCCGGATCTGACAGCAAGCTGGATCCAGATGGACAAATGGGTATCTGTGGCCAGATTCTTCAGCTTCACTACAGGAGATCCTTCCTGCCCACAGCTATCAGCATCTATAACAACTCTTGAATGAAACCAGGATGATGAACTAACTATGACACTTAATGTCCATATTTTTTAATTGAATTGAATTGAATTGATTTGAAATGGGGCAGCACAGTGGCACAACTGGTAGAGCTGCTTCCTCTCAGCGAGCAGGTCCTTGGTTCAAACCCCGGTCCAGGGGCCTTTCTGGGTGGAGTTTGCATGTTCTCTCGGTGCATGCGTGGGTTTTCTCCGGGTGCTCCGGTTTCCTCCCACAGACCAAAAACATGCATGTTAGACTGATTGGTAACTCTAAATTGCCCCTAGGTGTGAGTGAGAGAGTGAATGGTTGTTTGTCTCGTTTGTCTCTATGTGTCCCTGTGATGGACTTGTCCAGGGTGTACCCCGCCCCTCGCACAGTGATTGCTGGACATGGGCACCAGCGACCCCCGTGACCCAAAATGGAATTAGCGGGTAAAGAGAATGGATGGATGGATGGATGGATGGATGAATTGAATTGAAATGTATGGGTCTGAAGGAAGTTCTGAATAAGCTTGTCAAATCCGGCCATGTTTGTTTACCCCCCACAGACTGCCGTCCAGCCAGCCTGATGCAGCTCAGACTTCCTTGTAGTTTTTGGTGGTTCTAGCTGAGTGCTTTGTTTACACCGAGTGTGGACCCACAGTTCACAACCACCTCTCAGCATATCTGGAAATCTGAGTGAACTCTGTCATGCAGCGCCGTTTAATACAATATATATAGAATAACCAGTTTTATGCTTGATTTCAAAGTTTGCAATAAGTAGCTCCCAGGAAAAGTGATGAAATGTTCTGCAGTGATGGACACAAAAAATATTCACCAACAGGAACTGAGAACATCCTGGAAAAATGTCCCAATGAAGTTGTGTTGGATTCAGCACTTCAAGCAGTTTCCTGCAAAAAAATGTTCTTCCAGAAACTACAAGTGAATTAAATTTGTGGACTTAGATGTGAGTCCCTGGAAAAAAAATGATTCGTGCAAGAGAGATGTTAAATTCCTTCCCCAGTGTGGACGTGAAACCCTGAAACACATCACTTTTCAGTTCGCGAGGCTCGTTTCTAATTAAACACGGCAACGAAGCATCATTATTTAGAAGCTGATGAGACACACGAGGGCTGAGACGTAAACTACGAGCATGCTGTTAAATGAAATCAAGTTTAATTAGATTTTAAATCACAATCTGGATCATCTGGGGTCTTTTATGTAGTGAAGTCATGACTTTGAAGCTTCACAGAGAAAAGCCCCGTGCTCCTTTGCTTTAGCAGCTTGAAATGAAAGCAGGTTGATGTGTGCAGGAGTGTGGAAGAAACACTTTGGTGAGTTTCCCCTCTCTTTTTCCCCCCACAGATCTTTGATGAGGAGTACGCTGTACTTTATCTCGACCAAGGTGGAGCCTTGGTGGCAATAAGACACACTCCGCTTCCCATCCGACACCTGTGGTGAGTCATTACGAGACAGAAGCCATTTGTCACAGCACGACTAATTCCCTCAGAGGAAGCTCAGAGGCTTAAGTTAGTCAAACAAAAGCAAATGAGTTTGCCTTCGAACCGGGGAATGATATGATTCTGGTTAAAGAATCCATCAGCCATGGAAAATGACTCCTCTTACAACTGTCATTCGATTTCTCCTTCCCGTGCTTGAAGTTGTAATGAGCCTCGCTCTCTCTGATTGGTGTTCACTGAGCAGGGTCCCCGAGCGCCGAACGGAATATGAAACAAAGTTGTTAGACAACGCTGTGGGTCATTAGCGTGTGCACACAGTTGGGGGATTGTCGTGGATCCCTTGATGCAGCTGCTGTTTGTGTTCTCAGGTTGAGCTTCGACAAAGGACGACAGTGGAACAAGTACAGCTTCACCAACACGCCTCTGTTTGTGGACGGGGTCCTGGGAGAGCCTGGGGAGGAGACGCTCATCATGACGTGAGCAACAGCGATCTGTCTGCATGCATATTTACCAACCCCTCAGAGAAAACAAATGCAACAAATTGCCTTTTGGTTTGATGCACAAACTGTGCACTGTTGTGGGGGAAAAAAGAGATTCCCAAAACAACCAGGTGTAAGCTTCATCGGGTTTATTGCAAAGCTTTGGAGAACAGCCAGCAGTCACAGAAGATCAATGCATGTACAAGTTCACACGTAATGCTTTCACCTGTCTGAGGCTCTGACCCGTTCTGACTTTCTGAACTGATAAAGTCAGTTTTGTAGAAACTTCCTGCTGCCAAACCCTCCCCGTCTTATCAGAACCCAGCTGCAGTCAGAAGCAGGAGGGAATCTGGAACCAAGCAGCTCTAGGACTCTTGTAAGAAAGATGTCACTGTAATCACATTAATAGCTATGTTTTCATGGACATAAGTAATCAAATTAAACGGCCATTCAGAATAAAAATTCGGACTATTCTTTGTTGATTCAGCTTGATCCGAATAAAGTTTTAATCAGAATCAGAATCAGTTTATTATTGCCATGTCAATGAACGAGGTTCACAAACTAGGAATTTGCTTTGACATAAGGTGCGAATAGTAATAAAGTAAAATAAAGTAAAAATTAAGTAAAAATGAGAACATTACATAAGACATAAGACCTGTGTACACCCACAAATAAAGTAAAATTAAAAACATAACATAACCATATGTACACCCATACAATAGAAAACTATAAAAAAGCTTAGAGAACAGTACAGATGGAGTATTCAATTGTAATCCAAGTGAGAGGGGTGGTTTATGCCAATTCTTAATCAAAACAGTGCGCATGTATGTAAACACTTAATCTGATCGTTTCATTGTGATTGAAACTGACCTGACCGCGCATGTGCGACCTGTCAACCTTATGTATTTCAGCCTGGCTACGTGCTAATACTTTGTATGTCGGGAAAGCAAAACTGGTCGGTGAGCGACAACATTTCTACTAGAAACTTTGAAAGAGCTCAAAATAATCTGTATTACCTGTAGCTCAGTCAGGGAGCGCAGTAACGTCTCCACCGTCATTAAAACCTGGCGCGGGTCCGTTTTGGGCGCTCAGGTTTGTTTACGTTCATCCCGGAAGTAGAACTTCTTCTTCTGTGTTTTATTTTTTATTTTTTATGAGAGTTCATCACTGCGCATGTCAGTACTTCTATTCAGAATTAAAGTCCGCTGCATGTTAACGTTCGTTGTGAACCGATTGTGCCCATGTAAACAAAACATTTGGATTATTTAATCCAAACACATTTTAATCCGATCAAAGAATTTTGCGCACGTAAACGCAGCTAATCAGACCTCGAGGATAATAAAAACCATCTCTTGCTGTCCCTTCACTGACCGGTCACATGAAGACTGATTATTACATAACAAGTAACGGAACATTTTAATATCCTTCAGAATAACAATGAAAGAGCAGTGAAAATTATGGAGCACGCTGAGTGCAAATAATACACATTCCTTTTTTTTTTTTTTTTTTAATTAAATTTATTCATTTTAAAATACAACACAAAAAAAAAATAATAATAATGCAAACTAAGTTTATATAATATATAAATAAAATGAAGGGTAGCAGAAGGAAGAAAAAAATCTTATTTTATCTGCCCCCTCTTACAATGCACTTGACATGCACAAACACATTTTTCCTTAAACAAGAGACCATTTTTAAAAGCTTGAGTGAGGTTGTGTGGAGAACATATGAGTAGTTCATATGTTACCTGCAGTAGACAGCAGTGTGAGCAATTTTGGTTTATACAATTTGAGAGGAATTATGTGGAAGTGAAGCTAACAGCTAACGGGGCTCTACTCTGAGCTCTTCTTGGACGAGTGACATCCTTATTTCTGAGTCTGAGCTCGACCATCGTACAGAGGACGCTCAGTTCAGGGCCTTGATCAGCACCTCATGTCTGTAAGCGAAGACTGCGCTGTAGATGGTCCAGGTGATATGAGAGCTTTGACTTGGCTCAGATCGTTATTGAATATTACAGACCAGAGCAATGCTTTCATCACTGCAGACCAGTACCAGATCTGTCAGTCCTTCTCATACACTGCCCCGTCATCACTTGTGAACAAGACTTTGGCTACTTGAGCTCACAACTCATCCCCATACAGGAGGGAGAAATCCACTCTATTCCAGATGAGAACCAAGACCGCAGACTAATCCTAACACTGAGGGTCCGACAGCTTCATTTATCTGGACTTTATTATGTTTTTATTTCAGGTTTTTACAATTTTTATTTTCTGTTCTTTTGAGATTTTTCACATTACTTTTTTACTATTCCATGTATTGCTATTTTTGCTGTACACTACTTTGGTGCAGAGCTAGCTCTTTTTAAAGTAGTATACAATATGAATAAGTTCACATCGTCTTTTAAGTTGAGACAATTGTGACGACGTAAACAGCCGTCACATGCAAAACTGCCGAGGTGTCGAAATATACCAGCGTTGGCTTCAATTGCTGAAATAGTTTTTAGTTTTCAGTTGCTTGACTCCAGCATGATTTCTCTCTTTTAAACTCTGACGACTCGAACTGCTGTCTGCAGCAGGTAAGATACTGAATGTCCTTTAGCGCTTCGCACAACCCACTTAAAAAAACAACAACTTTGTCTTTAACCCGAGCCTTTTGCTTTTTTGTGTCGTCTCCGTTCAGCTTTCCTCTCCCTTTTCTTTTCCAACGACATCAACCCAACATCAGAACCGTCGGCCTCCAGATTGCGATCACTTGAGACGAATGCTTTCAAAGACAGCGGCACCATTTGAAGAACACGAAGGAAAATGATTGAATGATTAAAGGAGATGAGGAACATTAAAGGAGCCGTGTTTTAAAGGTTTTAACTGCTTTGGAAATGGGGCAGAATGACCAGAATGTGCCCGCAGAAAGCAGACTTATGAAGACTGTCCTCACATTTATTATTAGAACAGCCAGGAGCTGCAGAGCGTTCATATGATGCAGCGCTGCCTCCTTATTGCAGCAGAAATCCAAGCCTTTGGGGCGCGATACCAAAGGCTTTCCATAGAAATCGTATCAATGTTTCATGGCACCTGCCATTAATGATGGAGTGACAGCGGGGCGGTGTTGCTGCTCTGCAGGAGAGTGATGAAGAGCAGCAGGAGGAGCGGAGGGGGGGATATGACAGTGCTCAGCACCCTTCTGGAGAAGAAAGGAGTTCTTTAGGGGTTCAGAGGAGTAAAAAGACAATATGGGCACAGTGGAGCTAAGAATAAGTTCTGGGCTGCAGAGCCTCCGGGCTGGCAGACGCACCATTAGTTTTCATAAGACCATCATGCACTGCTTTCTTATCAATTTGTACTAATTTCTACAGTAAGTGGCTGTCATGGTCGGATGCCTCCTGCGCTAATTGACAGATTGTGATTAATATGTTGCAGCAGGAACAGTGGAGGGGTCAGCACACACACACACACACACACACACACACACAGTTTAGCTGAAGATGGAACATTTTTCTGTTCAGTCTCATAACCTTGAGTTGTTGTTTTGCTCTGTATCCCTTTAAAACATGAATATTTATTTTAATAATAGGAAAAAGTTAGCATTGTCCTGCTCGCTCGGATCGGTTTTTGTTATTCACGTTTGCTAAAACCACGTTTTGCACGCGTGATGGTACCAAGTGGAGCTCATTAATATTTTACTATTCATAAGGCACACCAGTTCGTAGTTCTTAAAAATTCTTGGGACATCGGAGACAGGCTTGCAAAGTTAAAAAGCAATTTATTAATTTCCATTTTTTATAAATACTTTTAAAATACATTTTAAATACTTTAACAAATCAAATACTCATTTTAAAAGTTATAGTCCAGACCTAGGTGTGAGGCTAATTACCCACGCCGCTGACATGAGTGTTTAGGGACCACGCCCCAAATAATTAGTTGTGGAGAAGTCCAGTGAAGCAGCCACAGGCGTCTGGAGTAGAGTTGTTCGATACCAGGATTTTCTGGTTCGATACGATATGTGAGTATCGGTGGTATCGATGCAGATACTGATACTTTTTGCAAATACGCCTAATGTGTCAGTTAAACCTAAAAAAAGCAGTGTATTCAAATCAAAGCTGCATAAAGAATGCAAGACAAAGTAATTTCTTTATTTTAAACTCAGGAGTATGTTGATGCAGTGACCTCATTTAGTCTGAGCTTCTAAAACAAACAGGACATCATGCAAAATGTGTGAAAATGGTTTTTCAAACAATAAAAATAAAAATCATAAAACTATTAAAATAAATTATTAAATATCTATTAAATAATGAGATATGTTTAAGATAATATGTTATGTTTTTGTTTTTTTTGCTCTGTATAATTTGATGACACCTGGTCCAGGTAATCCACTTTAAATTATAATTTCTTTATGAAACTTTACCTAGGCTATTTTGCCCATGTGAGATTATCTCAGTGATACACATATTATTAATCCAAACTGAACTCGTGCAACTATTTGTTGAAGCATGAATTTATTTTAATTATTTCATAACAATATATATTAATTTGAACAACTCCAACTGCAGCAGTTCACTGCTGAAAGCTCCACATTTTCTCCCTCTGTACCTGGATAGTCCTACAGCCCTGAGGGACTCCTCCAGAGCAACAGCACCTGACTCTCCTCTGTCCACCTCATCACTGTCTCATATTCTGTGTTGTGATTTAACAGGAAGTGTTTCACAAGGTTTATTGTGTTGCTACAGCTCTTTACAGATTTTCCACAAACCTCACAAACTGCTTCTTGGCTGTTTCTGGAGCTGAAATAACTCCACACACGACTCTCTTAAACTCCGCCGCTGTGTCTACAGACAGACTGACGAGCAGCGTGCCGCTCCGCTGAAACGCATTTACTCAGGTGGAAGAAAAAGTAGTTCCCTCCGTGTATCATTTAGACAAGCTCTCAATAGTTTAGTTACTTTCCAACATCTTCCTGTTAATGATATGCATTACCTGAAATGACTAAAGTATCAAAAATATGGATAGTTTGAATTAAACATTGATTCTAGAGCGAAACGTTCCAGCATAGATAATGTTGATATTTTAGTATTGATCCACACATCACTAGTCTGGAGACAATTAAGTGCAATACTCTGTACAACCCAAACAGCAGTGGTCCTCCAATTGAGACAGAGCAATGGTAATCTTCCATAGAGACAAATAGTTGTAACCCCACTGGAGACAAAACATTGGTCCCAACTTCAGCAAAGGACCTACTGTATCAAATTAAGTCAACTGATCACTATCAAACAGTATTAAATTTGAAGCTGATGATGAGAGTCAGGACTATATTTCCATACTGCTACACACTTTGCTGCTGTTTCCTAAATGAAAAAGTTGCGTTGCCTCTGACGAGCCCTGGTTGGAGTGTGTGGAGCTGAGGTTTTCTCTCAGGCTCCTTTTGGCATTCGAAGCACGGATATTTGTGTCGGCTGTGCTGTGAGGGAAACGAAGCAACACAAAAAAACTCTTTAGGAGAAAGAGTCTGAAAGTGCACGACTCCTCATCACTTTTCATTTCTCAGATTTCCACCTTAGCTCCTGCTGTAAGATCAAATCTCGGGAAAACACGTTTATTTCCTGTGCGCTGCGTGAGGCTTTTTAGGGGGTTTATTTTTTAACGTTCATTTTTTTGAGTCTTCTCATTTGAAGCAGCTGCTGACCAAACAGGAGCGACTGTTTTATTTGTGGATCCGTGTGCACCGGTGAAGGTTTACTGTGAACGTGGGCCCTGGTGCTGATGCTGGTTAGCAGTTATTCTGTCTGCAGCACCTCAGGCTGGTTTTATTTGTGACGAGCATCGGTTTGTTTGACTCGTTTCCAGGATCTTCGGTCACGTCAGTCATCGCTCCGAGTGGCAGCTGGTGAAAATAGACTTCAGGTCCATCTTCAACCGGAGGTGCACGGAGGCAGACTACCAGACGTGGCACCTACACAACCAGGTACGCTTAGCACCTCCCTCCGATCCAAGGCCGAAACCGAAGATGTATTTTATTCCAGAAGCGCCGGTTCTGTCTCTGAAGGAACATGCTGAGCGCTTCTGTAAAGCACGGCGGTGGCGTCATCATCATTGTTTATCCACAGAACCTTAGTCATTTAATTGTCACAGGTTTAAGTAGCGTTGGATTATGTTAACCTGCCTCACAGGAACAAGGTTGCAGGTTCAATTCTCAGTCAGTGCCTTTCTCCCCAAACACAAGTGGATCTTCTCAAGGCACTCCAGCCCGTTAGGTTAAGTGATGACTCTAAATTGTCGCCGGTGGGAGTCTGAATGTTTCTCAATGTGTCCCTGTGCTGGTCTTAGGATCTGTCCTTGGTGTCCTCTCACCTAAAGACAACTGGAAATATGCAGCAGCTCTCTGAGGCCCTGAAAGGATAGAAAAATTAGACAAATATTTCTGTTTGTCACTTAGTGAGGACATCATCACAGCAGACAGGACACACACCATGAAACATCCATCCATCCATTATCTGTACCTGCTTCTTCATTTTCACTGGTGCCCATGTCCAGCAGTCACTGAGTGAAAGGCGGGGGACACATGGACAGGTCACAAGTCCATCATGGGGACACGTAGAGACAAATGAGACAAACAACCCTCAAACAACTCTCACTCTCACCTAGGGACATTTTAGAGTTACCAATCAGCGTGACATGCATGTTTTTGTTCTGTGGGAGGAAACCAGGAATCAGTCTCAGCTACTAAATTTGAGTTTGGTGTTTGTACATTTGACAGAGTTGGAGCCATTTTTGTGTTTGCTAAGACGCCTTTGCTGTGGCAGCCATCTTAAATAAGTTTGACTGGCTAAGAATCATGGTGGAGGGGTCTGCAGCTGAAAAACCTCCACTTCTCCGAGTTCTCAGCTGAACCTGGAAAGTTTCAGTTTTTTTTTTTTTTTAGTAGACGTGAGTGTTTGTGGGAAGCGTTCTCTCTTTGACATCTCACTGCTGACACCTAATGCTCAAAGACAGAAAGTTATGGGATGAAACGTGCAGCAGGGAGCTGGACTCCTGAGTTCTTGTGCATCTCAGTTGGTCGTGGCAAAAAAAATAAAAAGTTTCGGCTGCTGACAGACTCAGTAGCTGAAGTTCTTCCGAATGGGAATGCATAAATATCAGAGTAATAAAAGTAGACCTCTGATGTAGTTCAGCACCAAACAGCTGATTAGTCTTTTTCTTCGCTTGTGTTTGTGAAAATGATCTGCAGGGCGAGCCGTGTCTCATGGGCGTGAAACGGATCTACCGGAAGCTGAAGCCCACCTCCAGGTGCGTGATGGGAAAGACGTACTCGGTGACGATGACGTCAGGATCCTGCGACTGCACGGAGGCGGACTTCGAGTGGTCAGTGATGGTTTTCTTGTTTCATACCCTTCACAGTCAGGTCAAGCTTAAAGTGCTCGAAGGAAATTTCATCTACACTAAAAAGAGTTTTCTGCTGAAGATTGTGAGAAGCTCATGCAGCCACATTTTCACCAAGTTTATTTCACAAATAATTTAATTACAAAAAGCCTGAAACTTATTTCAGCTGATGTCAGTTTAATTTGATTTAAACCAATTAAAGCGTTTTAAAATTCAGGATTATTTGTCCTTAAATTTACTATAAACAATGTGAAAAGTTGTAACAACTTTGTTCCCAGGTATTTTTAGATATTACTTTTTTTTTTTAACAAATATTCAATAAATGTGCTACTTTTTTCAATGGTCAGGATAAATATAATTTTTTGTGTATTAATTATCTATAATTTTATTAATTTAAATGATTGAGTTTGTTACTGAGCCACCATAGAGAGGCACTTTCTATACGATCACCACATTTTAGTGGCGTTAGAAAAGTCTGGACTCATGTCGGAACATTCAGGCTAAAAAATCTCGACTTTGGTCTGGTTCTGGTCCAGAACTCTTGAGCTTCCTTCAGATGAAATGAGCTGTGCTGCCACGTTGTCTTTAGAGAGAAGAGACCTCCTCCTTCAGCTCTTCCAAACAAGTTATGTCCTTTGACCTTTAACCTGCTAAGCGAGGCCTGCGTCTGAGAGGACACTAGTTTTTGGAACATTGCGTGGTCTGCCCTTCGGGGTGAATGCATTGATGTAGATTCTCAGTCCAGGACACGGACTTCTTGAAGATGTGTTACCTCTCATTCAAAAGGCTTCTTCGGTTCTAGAGAAGCTTCCTTTAGCTTCTATTCAGCCCATTTGTATTTTTATGTATTTTATTCTGTATATTTGACAGCATTTTGCTACTTGTAGCTTTCAGCTAGTGTTCTACTGCTTTTAGCTTTTAGCTAACTCCCTGTCAGCAGGTGCGTACATTGCTGCTAAAATGTAAGTTTCGTAAAATTTGCGAAACTGTAACATTTGGGAGTGTTGGCGCAGTGGTTAGAGAAGGAGAGCCTGCAATCAGGTGGTCATAGGTTCGAATCCTCTGACCGTTTGCCCCACTTTGGGGCCTTGAGCAAGGCTTTAAACCCCCCAGCTGCCTTAGATGGCAGCCCTCTGCTCCACACATGTGGGCTGCGGCAGCTCAGTGCTGTCAGAGAGGCCGTCCAGCGTAAAAACAATGATCACATCCTGATGTGAGTTTCCTGGCTGTGGCGACCCCTGAAAAAGGGAGACCCACCCCCCCACGCCCCCCAAAATTTTGAATTGACGAATAAAGTTTTAGAATTCATGGGTCCAGTGGTTTGTTTCTCACTCTGAACTGTGACACTGAACCATCTTGGACATGTGGACAAAAGGTTCTTCCTGTTATCTAAAAAAGTTAAGTCGGGTCCTCTGGATGGACTCTTCTTCCAAAAGACTTGGTCAGTCTGAGGAGCTGCAACAAACTCAGTCTTATAAACAACCCCTTCTCATAGACTCCCATGTTTTTGATATAAAATGCAAAATTTAACCAAATCCACACCCTCTTGAAATTGGAAAACTTGTGGAATAAGAAGGTTTAGAGATTTCTGCAGGTCTTAGTGCTGCAGCTTTAGCTCTTGTGAAGTTGAGATTATGAGCTCAGTGATCTTCATCAAGGAGAAGATTCCTCTGATCATCAGATTCCTGAGTCCTGGCAGATCCTCTCCAAGGCTCCTGCTGCCTCTTAATAGAAACCAGTTAAATGTGTGGAAATGTCTGTTTGCGTGTGAGGAGAGAGAGAAGCAGCCGAGGTGTTTTTCATTCTCAGACGTTCTATTGATTTCACTTTAATGTGCGCCATCGTTCACCGCTCGAAGGTCCGAGTGCTACGAGGGAAAATGATCACTCACAGCTGCTTTTGTAGCAGCGACTCTTAATGCCACAGACGAGGATTTTCTCCCTCATCCAGATCAAAACAGCCAACTATTAATTATATCAAATATGTTTTTTTTTTCTTTGCGCCATTTGTTCCCAGATCTGAGCGTCTCTGGAGTGAGGCGGCTCTCGGAGAAGGCTCCGACAGAACCATAAATCACAGCTCCTAATCGCTTTCATTAACAATCACAACACTTCTGCATCTGTGAGCGTGTCGCTCTAATTGGGGCAATTTGTCCGTATCATTTTCAGGACACGTGCGCCGCTCTGCCTTTTAATTTGTGGCACAAACAAATTATGAGCCGTGTTGAAAACATGTTGAAGAAGCAGAGAGCAGCAACACCTCTGGACTCAAACTCTAATTAACTCCATGTATTTATTTTATAGCTTTGAATTGTTTCAACGGCTGTTTTCTTTGTCACTGATGCGATTCTGAGCATTAATATCATAAAACGTACATGAGATTTATTTATCTGAATATTTCAAACCCCGTGCTCACCAAATATTTTTAAAAAGTGGCTGTGTATGGTCCACATGGCTCTGGAGGAGTTCTGGTCTGCTCTCTGAAGGTCCACCGCAGCATCTCAGTCAGGATGACGTTCTGGACTCTGACTGGACCGTTTCTTTCGGTGTTGCCAGATTTCACGATAGAAATAAGCAACCAACTCTATGAAAATGAGTTCAAAACAAGCCCAACTGGCAATCCTCCACATTATCTAAAACAGAGGCTGTTTTTAAACAGCGTACATTTATTATGTCATTACACATAAACTAGAGCAAAATTACGCTAAACACTTTGAATAACATACTTTTAAGTTCTGATAAAAAATACTTTTTGCATATGTAATATTTTCTACATATTTTTAAAAACAAAACATGACTTCTGCGTGTGAGTGGAGCCCCCTAGTGGTCAGCCACAGTATGAGTGATTGGTGTGCGTGCCCACAGTCGTATTTGTATATGTGCACCTGTCCCCTCGCCAACTTGGGCGGGAGTGATAAACAGGCAACGGGGGCGTGGAAGGGACAAACTGCCTGCTACCACTCGTTTTTGCTTTATTGTGTGGAGCGGGGAGATAATCAACTAGTTTCACTCGAAAAGAAAGTCAAGCCCAAATAAGCAACTTCACGTTCAAAACAAACCCAAGAAGCCGCAACCCACGACTCCCAAGATTTACAAGCAACTTTAGGAAAAAATAAACCCAAAGTGGCTTCTAATAAGCAGACTTGGCAACTATGGTTTCTTTTCGTTTAGACCCGTTCTATTGTAAATCAGCTGCTGTGTTCTGGACCATAGTTCTGTTGGACCCAGTTGGATCCAAGCTTCAGCTGTTGGACTTCAGAATCATTTAGTCTCCAGAGGAGTTCTGGTCCACTCGGTGACTGACAGGAGTCCGAACCATCAGCCCTCCACCACCATACTTGATAATTGGCACGAGGTGTTTGCTGCAGTGCATTCTGGGTAAAAGTTTCTACTTCAGTCTCATTTGCTTCCAGAAGTCTTGTAGTTCCTTCAGATGAAAATTTTCAAACCTAAATCGTTCGACCGTGCTGGTTTTAGAGAGGAGAGGTGTGGTCTTGCAACCTTTCCAAACAACATATGTATTGGGTCTCTTTCTAATGGTCCTGTCATGGCCTTTGACCTTTGACCTGCTGACCGAGGTCTGGATTCTGACATGAAGCTAATTTCTTTGAGCATTGCATGGTCTGACCTTTGGGGTGAATTAGTGTAGATTCTTGTTCCATTATTTTGTTTGAGAGGTTAAATGAAGAAACGAGAGAAATCTAGTTGCGTTTTCCTGAACCATGTGGTTCAGCATGAAAACCTGATGTTTCTCCTGAATCTGTATCTCCTGTATCTTCAACTCATATTATCCTCTGTTTTTACTTGAAGACTTATTTAGATCATTTTGAGACTTGGTTCACAGCAGGTTTTAATATTTATTGTGTCCTGGAGTGTGAATGTTTAGAGATCAAATGTCTTCACAAGTTGTACTGGTTGGTGTCCAGATCTTCTGTTTTGACTTGAATTTTCCAGAAACAGTTTTCTCTGTGGTTCCTGGTGGGATCAGCGCATCTGCTCATTCTCTTACAGTGACTACGGCTACGAGAGACGGACGGATGGAAAGTGCAGCCCGGCTTTCTGGTTCCATCCATCGTCCACGTCCAGGAGCTGCACCACAGGAATGATGTTCCTCAACAGCACGGGGTAAACATGAGTCAGACTGAAATCAATCAGTTGTTTATTTCCTGAGAAAAACAAAAAACACATCTGAGGAAACTCTGATCAAATTCATCCATCCTTCTTTCCGCTTGTTCCCAAGTCGGGTCTCGGGGGCAGCATCTTGAGCAGGGAGGCCCAGACATCTCTCTCCACAGCCACTTCTTCCAACTCCTCGGGGAGGACTCCAAGGCGTTCCCAGGCCAACTGAGAGACAGTCTCTCCACAGTGTCCTGGGTCTTCCTCTGGGTCTCCTCCAAGTTGGACATGCCTGAAGCACCTCCCTAGGGAGGTGCCCAGGAAGCATCCTTACCAGATGCCCGAACCCCCTCAGCCGGCTCCTCTCAATGTGGAGGAGCAGTGGTTCTACTCTGAGTCTCTCCCAGATAACTGAACTTCTCACCCTATCTCTGAGAGAGAGTCCAGCTACCCTGTGGAGGAAACTCATTTCAACCGCCTGTATCTATGAGCTCATTCTTTTTGTCACTACCCAGAGCTCGTGACCATAGGTGAGGGCAGGAACGTAGACTGACCGGTAAACAGAGAGACAGAGCTTTGCCTTACAGCTCAGCTCTCTCTTCACCACAACGGACCGGCACAGAGTCCGCAATACTGCTGACGCTGCAACATTTCGTCTGTCAATCTCACGCTCCATTTTTCCCTCACTCATGAACAAAACCTGGACATACCTGAACTCCTTCACTTGAGGCTGAACCTCACCCTCAACCTGAAGAGAGCAACCTTATCAAACCAATACTTTTAAAACCAGTTATTGATCAAGTAAAAATGGCTCAAACTCTTTGATGTGCTACAAAATAAAGATAAGTTTGAACATCAGTGAAGATCTCACCCCATGACAGGAAGGAGCCAGTAAAATTACATTGTCTCCTAATTAGAGAACAACCATCAAGGAAACAAAAAGAAAACATTGTAATAATAAATACTGCCAGATATTTTGAAAGGCAGATCAGAAACTTTAAAAGAGAAGGGTTTGATGATCGACAGCAAGAAGGTGGTTTTATTGATGTGGCTCACGGGTGAATACAAAGCAGTTATTTTTTTAAACTCAATTGTTCCATTAACTTTTAAAAACCAGCATTGATTAAATAAGTACAAATCACATACAATGCCAAGGTTTTAAATTAAAATGTAATGGAAGAAGAAATGTACGTTTCAAATATTCTGTACCTCTTACATTAGGTTGTACCTGGTGTGTTTTGGGTGTTTTTCTGCCTGTTGATGGTGTTGTGCTCTCCCCCCTCAGTTACAGGAAGGTGGTGTCTAATAACTGCACAGCCGGAGTGATTGCGGAGTACACGGCCCGGCGGCAGCAGTGCCCCATCCAGGCTCCCCGAGGTCTCCACCTGGTCACCAGTGAGGGCACGCTGACCGCCACGCTGGCCACCAACGTGACCTTCCTGGTTTTTCTGGAGGAGGTGAGCTGTTTATGACCTGTGAATGTCAAAAGTTGCTTCGTCACGCCAGAGAAACATGTTCCCGCACGCATCCGTTTCCATGGAAACCAGACTGCAAACCTCCACAGTTTGCCGGTTGTTTTATTGGTGATTTCACTGAAAGACTCAGATAGTGGGACATGGGCACCGGCGACCCCCGTGACCCAAAATGGAAGAAGCGGGTAAAAGATAATGGATGGATGGACGCAGGTAGTGATCAGGTGTTTAATTCATCCATTCTGATCATTGCAGTGGGGACATAGCTCAGATAATCTCAGTGAATCTAAATAGTTTTTAATAAATTATGACCTTTTTCCTATAATTATTACAATAAGTAAACATAATAAGGATAGACTTGTGTAAAAAGTCAAGTTGTGACCGCCTGTATTGTCATTACCGTATTTTTCGGACTCTAAGGCGCACTTAAAATCCTTTAATTTTCTCAAAAATCGACAGTGAACCTTATAATCCGGTGCGCCTTATGTATTAATTCTGGTTGTGCTTACTGACCTCGAACCAATTTTATGTGATAGAACTGAACAATGTTGAGAGTTATTGTGAATGAGTCAAATAAAGTTTGACTTGTCTGACTGTTTTGTTTCACTTAATGCGCCTTATAATCAGAAAAATACGGTATGTCCTTGTTTTATACATATATTGGTAATATTTGTACACAATCTATAGTTGAGGTCAGAGTCATGTTTTGTGGATATAAAGGTGAAAGATTGGTAACTACATGTTTAAATATTTTTAAAGTTACACAACAAACTCCTAAACAATTAAATCCAAAAATTTTTAAAGGTCTAAATGATTTCCACACGGACAGAGAATGAAAGCTAGTCTTTTATCGTCCCCCGTCGCAGAGCGAAGAGGCAGAATTTTAAAAACACTCCGTCCGTCCGTTTGGCATGTTGTGAAGATGATAATTTGAAAAGTAAGCGAGGTACCGACTTCCATTTTAAAATGTGACAACATTTAGGCGTAAGAAGGTTTTCTTTCAAAAACTGGGTTGCTACGTGAAAATCCAAGATGGCCACCACCATATCTGTATGTAAACTGGCCATGACTATAGTTTGATGAAACTCTGATTTCTAGTTTTTTATTTTGCTTAAAAGGATAGTTTCCTTAAATAATCGGGGTGGACTTTAGGGTGGTCAAAGACTAATCTATGGGGGCCAAGGCCACCAATGGCCACCCCCATGCTCCTCCACTGCACTTGGTCATGGATAAATTCTTCTCCCACTAGAACATCTTGCACCAAAAACATTAAAGTTTATTTCATTCTCTGTTCAATTCCAGACCAGAAAAACACTCATCTCCAAAACTACAAACATTCACTGTTCAGATCCCTCAGAGATGGGGGACATCGGGGTTCGGCTTGTTTTTATGGGATGAGTTAATCAAATCTAACAGGTCCACATGACTTTATCAGAAAAGTCCAAATGAATGATTTAAAGAATTGAAGTTAATCCTGTTTTCTAAGCAGAAAGTTGGATACAAGTCTTTCAGATTTTGGACTTGAGTTTGTCTCTGGATTACAGACTCCAATAGTTATTCTTTTATCCAAAACAAGTTAATTGGTATGTTGAATAACTAAAAAGACACGGATGTTATTTATTTATTTTTGCTGTAATCATTAAGTAACAAAAAATAATACGAGTTTCTGAGTGCTGCATCTGTTTTGTTGTGTTTTTGCTAATAAGCTTCTGCAGATGAAGGAGCAGTCCTTCAGTGTGAAAGTGTTTTTTTTTGTTTGTTTTTTTTGCAGGGGGATGGCGTGAGGACCAGCATCACCGTGGACTTCGGAGATGGCCACGCCTTGACGTATTCCAACGTGAGCTCCATGGACGACGGCATCAAACACATCTACAAGACCGTGGGAATCTACCGGGTGACGGCCACGGCGGAGAACAGCCTCGGCTCGGAGACCGCCAGTCTCTACCTGCACGTGACATGTGAGGCGGCGAGCGCCTTCCAAACATCTCTCTGTGCTCGTTCCGATAAGAGCCTCTTCGGTTTTCCTCCTGTTTGCTGTTTTTCTTTCACGTTTATCGCGTTCGGTGGAATTGCTCCACGCTCTGAGCTTTATCTCCTCGCAGAACAGGTTCTTAACGAAACAAACAAGGAAGACAGAACCAATCTGTTTCCAGTTCCTCTTCAGTCCGCTCCTGCCGTGTGGCTGCTCAGACTCATGGCTGACCGGCTCGGCTCTGTTCAGGGTCTGACAGATGACTTATTGACCAGGGAGCGCTGTCCGCCTCCCCATCTGTCAATCCTGTGTGCCAGCCGTGCAAACCGAATCCCTGCAGGCTCAGGAGGGCTGCGGATGAGGAATAACGCACAGATGGCAGCTGTCGGTTCCAGGGCAGGGGAGAGTTCTGGGCATGCTCACCACCCACCTATAAATTCCCACTCTCGTCCCTCGTTTGAACTAATAAAGTTGTTTCTGTTTTGATTTTTTTCCACTCTGTGCATAATGCGAGCGAGGCGTTCACGGTGTGATGCATGTGTGTGCGCGCAGGTCAGCTGGAGCATATCCATCTCTCCGCTCCCTTTGTGGCGATGAAGAACAAGGAGGTGAACCTGACTGCGGTTCTGTGGCCCAGCCAAGTGGGAACGGTCACCTACATCTGGTGGATCGGAAATAATACCGAGGTACTTTTTTCCCTCTGCGCTCAAACTTCTGCCCGGATCCGTGCGTAATTAGGAAGTAGGTTGCTGACTTTGTAGTTTCGTAGAGCTATATTTGAGAGTCCAGGATGCAGAAAATTGTGTCCGTTTTTAATCAGCGCTGATAAAAGCTGCAGGGAGTGCTGAGGTATCACAAACACAAAGTGCCTCGATTAGTTAAAGCTGGCTGCAGGTGGGCTCGGCCCAATTATCCCAAACTTTAAAAAGCTTTCACGCAAACGTCTGTTCAGATAAGTGTGAAGTCAAACTGTCTTTGGATTTTGAACAGACACATCTGGAGGTAAAAGCTCCGAACATGAACTCTGAGCTACCCAGAGCATCTTCCGCTCTGACCCTGGCGACTGTTTTAAACCAGTCTGCTCCATCAGTCAGGTCACTTACCGGCTGTTTTTTTTTTTTTTTAAATGTAATCTTTTATTGCAAACAAGTGCACAAAACGCAACACCAGGAAGCAAACAAGGCAACGCAACATGTACAAGTTCTTGAGCTCTGGTGTTTTTCACACCAACATGAAGTGAATGAGAACTGTGTGACATTCAGGGGTTTTATTTGTTGTCTGAAAGCACCAGAACAACAGAAGTTGATTTTCTGTCGTTTCTTAAGGTCTTGTTTTCACATCATTTTTGGATCCTTGTGTCTCGTTCTCATGCAAATTTGTCCGATTAGAAAAACTTTCATAAAAGCCTCCCAAAGAGCAAACTGAGCTTTTTGTCAAATGTCTCAGTCTGATGTTGTTTCAGACACTGAGGATTCAGTGGAACCAGTTTATATCGGTGCTCTTTTGGTTTTGTCTTTGATTTTAAACTTTGTTGATGTGTTGAAAAGTTTTGAGTTAATCATTATTAACATTCATCTGTTGCCTTATATACCAAAGCAAAGATCTCCTGGGATCTGTTTGCGCTCAGATCTGTGTTGATGATGACTCTCAGTTACTATCACACCAACGTTTAAATTATTATTTACGAAATTAACTAAGTAAGAGACATTTTTTGCATTTGCTAAGGTCAATTAGGTTGATTTGGATTGACGCAAAAAGTTAATTAGTTGTAGATGTTCAACCACTGAGTACTGTCTGAGAAGTTCATTAAACTATGAGCGGCCTTTTAGGCCAAAATGTATATTTTATTTCACATAGTAAATGTGAAAGTCTTTGATAGCAACACACACACCACACACACACAGAAACGGTTAGGTTTTAACTTTTGTTGTTGCTTGCAGTTTCCACAATGCTTCTTTATTTTCAATTACTTATTTTGCTAACACGTTTAGCTGCCATTATTTATTTCTTGCCTTAAATCAAAGTTATGTGGCTCAATGAACGTGTGTGTGTTGGGGGTGGTGGGGGGGGATTGGTCAGTTAAGACTCAAAGCTCCACATCCCGAGTGCTCCAACTCAGGTTCCAAAAATGCAACATTGCAGCTCCTGTTGACTTCGCATTCCAACAACAAAAATCATCAGGGAAATTTGGTTTAAATGTAAAGTCTTTGGTTTTAAATCAATTTCATTTAACTAGTGAGGTGGAGGGTTTAAAATACTGGTAAGTCCGGTGACCAGGTGCTGTATAAAGTACAGAAAATAATGATCTTCTAGACCTGTTATTAGGAGAAGAAGAATTATTGAGCTTCAACAACTAACCACCTGACATCTCAGAAGGTTAAAACTATAATCTGTAAAGATAATTTATTAACCACGAAGTGTGAAAATATATTTCAGTTGTGTCTAATGCGCCACATCCATGGGAATGTGAATGTTGAGAACCTTAAATAAGCAGAACCGGTTTACATGCGCTGGGATGATGATAATATCCTGTGGCAGTTTTAGGCCCCGTCCACACGGAAACAGTGTTTTGTAAATATGATTTTTTTTTTTCCTCTCTAAATCTTTTCAGCCTTACATCCACATGGAAACAACATTTTAGGAGCCTCTTGATTGCATTTTTGGAAATCGCGCCTCAAAATGAGAAAAAACTCAAACAAAAACGCTGAGTTTTCGTGTGAACAGTCAAAACACAATCTTTCCAAAACAACCTCATAGACCGAACTCTAATCTAAATTAAAATCCAAATGTGACAGACGTCAACAATAAAAATGACACATTACATGCTTGTGTTTGTGTTGCAGACAGGGTTGATGAATGATAACAAACAGAACTGAAAAAAAACTAAATATTACAGTAAATACTCTTCGGCCAGTCGTTATTAAACTATCATAAAACAGTTAACAATATATCAGACAATATATCACCTTGAGAACGGGGAATAGTTTAAAAAAACAGATAATTGTTGCATAAAGAAATTATCCTGACATGCTTTGAAGCATTTTTGAAGAAGGAAACTCTCCTCCATCTGTCGTTCTGTGAATAAAACCTCTGAAAACATTAATTATGTCCACGTCTTTAAACTGACACAACTTCTAGTCAAAGATGTTCCACTTTGTAGTCAGCCCATTAAAAATATTAATTATATATTTTTATTTTTGCTCTTGTTTTCACCATCTGTCTTCTGGTGTTTACAGTTTGGAGCGTCTTCTTTTCTGTTGGGTGTTTTTGTGGCAGCATTGCAGCGCCACCCACAGGCCTGGCATACTTACTGCAACGTTTTCTGTGTTGATGTAAACATTTTTAGAAACAGTGCTGCGTTGATGAGGACATTTTCAAAAACATCAAAATAAAAAGACTGTAGGAAAGTCAGCCTTCCTGTGTGGACGAGGCCTTAGACACTGAAAGAAATCTACATCTAAAGAAAAGAAAGGTGATGTCACGTGCGCCGCAGTATGGCAGCACTGACAGGAACTCTGCTTCGACTCGATCTTCTTTTGTTCCTGTTGTTGTTCTTTTAACTTTTTTTGCGCCTACACTGCACACCCACGCTACGGGTATGACTGCAACACACTTTTGGAGTTTTCTGTGTCGCTGCCTTGCCATCGTGCCATCTTTCCATTGTGGTTCAGTTCCTGGCCCCCCTCCAACCTCGGGCTCAGGCTCCGGCCTGTCACGCCATGTCATCTGCCTGCACTGACCGAACTCTACGGACCCGTTCAGTTCCGCAAGGAAACCTTGAATGTTCTCTGTCTGCCAGACCCAGTTCTTGAGGGCAGTCTAGGAGGGCAACTGCTGCGGTCCTTATTTACCATCAAGTCAAGTCAAGTCAAGTCATCTTTATTTGTAGAGCACAATTTAAAACAGATAAACTGTTATCAAAGTGCTTTTTTTGTTATCAAGCTGCTAACAAGACATGCTAACAAGACCTGCTAACGCTGTTAACAAGACCATGCCCCTAACCGAACCATTCTACTGATAGAACCTCACTGCTAACCAAACCACACTGTAGATGTTTTTCTTTTTCACTCTTGGCATCGTGTTTTTGTATTTTTTGCTGTATGCTTTGGTATTTGTTGTTGTTTTTTATTTCTGGCGAGTCGAGACAGTTCTTCTCATCCTAAGCATTTCATTGCCTTGTTGACCTTGTGTTGATTTTGCATATGACAAATAAACCAAGCCAAACCGAATCTTTGAGGTTGTTAGTGCTGACAGGAGCTATGGGAGTCACACCGAAGTCATTCCATTGTGTGTTTGTGATTTCTGCACGCCAACACCTCTGTGGTGTAAACAACTACGGTGTGAGATATTAACCGACTGCTGATGGTGGCCCCCCCACGGGCCCACCCCGTCTCACTCCCTGTGTGTCTGTGTCCTCCAGCAGCCTTTAATCACCCTGGAGGGAAGCGTAGCGTGCACGTTCTCAAGGGAAGGCATCAACAGCGTCACGGTGCAGGTGTCTGCTGGGAGTGCCATCCTGCAGGACAGGAAGACCATCGCCGTCCACGGTGAGTCGGCTCGGCAGCTGTCAGAAGAACAGAACAAGGATCATGCACACTGTTTAATAACAGGAAATAAAAGATCAATATTTTATTATAAAAACAGAGGCATTACAATAAACACGTCCTGTAGAGTTTATTTATATTTTTTTGAATCAAAGACGGCAAAGAAAAGAAAATTACATTTTCCAGAACTTGAGGAAGTAATTAATTCACTGAATCAGGTGTGTTGGAGCAGAAAACAACTGAAAAATTCAGGATGGTGTTCCTCAGGGACTAGGGTTGGGAACCACTGAATTTTAAACATCGATAATATGGTTTCCTGTGGTCCAGACAGTCCTGCAAACTGAGTTAGTCTCTGAGAGAACAGCAACAATCATATTTTATCCCGTAGTTCTCCTAAAAGCATTCATCAGACACGTGAGCAAATAAAGATGTTTCCAGAATGCCGGCGCTGTCGGACACTGAGCAGGTTGATCTGGGCCCCCCTGGTCTTCACTGACACTAACATTAACAATAAGGATACATTTATTTTAGCTGATGATACAAAAGCTATTTAATTTTACCAAACAAACAAAAAACAAAACATAAAGCTCATAATTAATCTGGAAGCTGTGTTTGAATGTTAATATGTTAAAAATAAGAGCATGTAAGTTATTATCTATAAGCACAAGTTCTCCAAGGTTTCACTCCACAAAAGTAGTTTTTATTGCATTAAAAAGGCATTAATTTAGCTTTTAAATAACATTTCCCCATCGGTTAGTTTTTTTTTTAATTTTCAGACTGAGATGATTTCAGTTTGTTATTTTTAGTTTTCTGGTTCTTTAATAATTATAAAAACTCAGTTTGTGGATTGTTTTATTGGTAATAATAGTTTTTTATTCAACTTGTTTCTTTCTTTAAGTCAGGTGTCCGTCTGCACATCACTTTATTTCCATTTGAATTTAGAAACACGCTCTTTAAGCCACCTGAAGCCAGTTTTAAAACCACAAATCATTTGTTTTGCAGAAGTTTTATGACACTGCAGGGAGAAAAAGCTGCTTTAGATCTGCTCCGTTTCTGTCTGACAGTTTTTAAACCTTTTATAAAGATGGACTCTTACATGAAAACAAGACAAAACAGTAAAGAACAAAACTGCTTTTTTTACAGAAAGTTCTAAATCTCAGCTGTGAACTTTGTTTTAGACCTCATAAAAGGAAAAACGTCAAACATTTATTAATATTATTGTTGTTGTTGTACCTGTAGAATACTTCCGATCTCATCTGCTGGCCTTTTCGTCCAACCTGGATGAGCACAACCCCGACGTTCCAGAGTGGAGGCTGGATGTGAGCCGTGTCATCAGGAACGCCCTGATCCAGGTAGGATCTTCTTCCCAGCAGCTGTTGCTCTGCTCCCGAAGATGCTGTCGGAGCTCAGCCGGACCTTTGCGTGACCTCCCCGGAGCTCCGGGTCTCCATTAAGACTTTTATGAGGATAGATGACGAGGGTTCAAGTTCAAAAATCTTTATTATCCCAGAGGGGCAGTTTGTTTCAAGTCAGTAGCATACTAGATCAATCCATACTAGACACTGAGATATTAAAATAACATAAATCATCACTGTTCATTAAGGAGCCTGATCACTACAGGGATGAATGAGTTTTCAGTCTGTTCAAGGATTCAAGGTTCTTTATTTATCATGCACACCACATGTGGTACATGTGGTGGAATGAAACTGAGTACACAGGGTCCCAATGTCGTCCTACGTCCGGGCAGCAGATACCTGCGTCCAGATGGAAGCAACCTGAACTCACCATAGAGTGGATGATCAGGATCTGCCAGAATCAGCCTGGCCTTGTTCACTGACCTCGTCTTGTGTAGGTCAGTGAGGTTCTGTAGGGCTATGCCAGCAGTTCTGGTGAACATCCTGACAATCCCTGAGAGTTTGCACCTGTTTTTGCATGTCAAAAGTCCAAACCAACAGATGAAGGTAAAAGTTAAAAGACTCAATAAAACATGAATAAAACATTCTCATAAAAGTTGAATCAACATTCAAACCACAGAGCTTCAGATACAAATATGTCCTCTGGTGGGCCTTTTTACAAAATGAGTTCACATGGGGGTCAAAGGTCAGGTTGTCATGGAGAACAGTTCCCAGATAGATGCACCACCTCAACAGCTTCACCATTATTGACCACAGGAGTGGCAACTGAAGAGTCTTTTCTGAAACCAATGACCAACTCCTTTGTCTTAGAAACATTGAACTCGCATCATTCAGTGAAGTCCCCGACCACAGGGTGGAGAGCAGAGGATGACGATCAGGAGGAAACGTAGTTCAAGGACGTCTGATTGCTCCGAACACACTCCGAGAATCCAAGGCTGCACAGGAACAAGCTCCTGGACGTTCATGAAGACAAATAAATGTCTGCGTTGACCCGAGGGGACGCTGGGGGACGAGTGCTTCACAAGCTGTCAGGTGTAAGAAATGATTCAGCCCCACGGCCGACAGTCACCCAGTCTGAGTCATTGACTCGTTCTTCACACATCTTCAAACTGCCAATATACTTCTGGGTCTCCGGAAGAAGCAGTCTGGGCCTCGCTTCATATTCTCACACGTATTTCTGATCCAGAAAATTCTAAATTGGTGCTGAAAACATCCGTCTCTGCAGTCCTCGCCGAGCGAGCCCGCGCTGTTATTTCTTGCAGGCAGAACACGAAGACGGAGAGAGATTAAGATAAAAATATTACTCGGCGGGTTTAAACCGCCTCAGCGTTCACGGCAGCAGAACCCCAGAAAAACGCTCGCAAACTAAAACCTGCAGCTGCTGCAGGAAACAAACGGCACAGTTCCCCATCTCTGCCTGCGTTCCTTTAAGGTCACGGCTGAACCTGCACCGATGAAAATTAACAACATTAAACATACGCACTAAAATAATTGATCCTCATTAAATTCTACTTTATCAGCAGCCGAGTGATTAATAAAAAGAAGCTCGCAAGATTTAAATATACACAATTTAATTTTACATGTTTTTTATTCCATTTTTTACATGTTAAAAAAAAAAAACAATACTACAAATAAAACACTCAGAATCTGTGTTCAGAAGCATATGAAAGAAATTCTGGCAGTTTCTTACAAAAACCTAAATGTTTTACAGTTTGTTTTTCCGGCTGCTCAGAGCTGAATTAGCATTAATTTACATGAATCATAATTAAAATAACAGTACAGGCATTGTTTGAAAATATTAGCTGCAACTCCAACAAGGTTCAGTCAGGTCATCTGGGTGATTTTTTTGTTGTTGTTGTTGAGATGTTTTGTCCTTCATCCAAATGACTTCATCAGTCCGATAAGCCACAACAAACAGAGTCCCACAAGCAGCAAACCCACATAGTGGACTAACCGGTTTGCTGGCAATGAGTTGGTTTCTGGGGCCCGCCATCTCCCTTGTCGACTCCTCGGAAGCAGCCATAGCCAAAGTGGTCCACCATGTGGGTTTGATGCTTGTGGGTCTCAGTTTGTTGTGGCTCATCAGACTGATGAAGTGCTATGGATGAAGGACGAAATATCTCAACAACAATAGAAACCGTCCAAATGACCTGAATGAACTTTGTTGGATTTTCTACCTGAATTATTGAGCATGAAATGTGATTAGCTGCAAATAATTATGGGTTAGAAAAGTTTCCTTTCAGAAAAGATGCTTTGCTAAAGGACATGATAAATGAAGGGATTTTTTTTTTAAGCTCCTCTTGGGATCAACTTTTTAGAACCATCTCAAAAATCAATCAGCTTTCCAGGTTCTCGAAACCAGTAGTCTGAGTTCATATCTCAGTTAAGTTTCTGAACAGTTTCAAGCAGATCTCAACATGAAGAAACTGACCAGTTTGCTTGAATTTCTAATTCTAAACATCAAAACATCAAAGTTCATGCTCAGTCATCCAGGTACAAAGTCCAGTAATGCTCAGTCAGGTCATCTGGACAGTTTCTTTTTTGTGGAAAGACGTTTCACCCTCTATCCAAAGGGCTTCATCAGTCTGAGGAGTCCCAAGTATACTGTTTCCCCACTAAGCAGATGATAATAAGCTGATGAAGCCCTCCGGATAGAGGGCGAAACGTCTTTCCACAAAAAAAAACTCTACAGATGACCTGACTGAGCATTATTGGATTTTGTACCTGGATGATTGAGCATGAACTTTGATGTCTTGAACCACTTTGGCTGTGGCTGCCTGCCTGGGAGGAGTCAATGGGGGACAGGACAGCCCCCAGAAACCATCTTAACACCAGCAAACTGGTTGGTCCACTAAAGGAGTATACTGTGGGGAAACAGTTTACTTGGGACTCCTCAGACTGATGAAGCCCTCCGGATAGAGGGTGACACGTCTTTCCATTAAAAAAAAATAAACTGTCCAGATGACCTGATTGAGCATTATTGGACTAAACATCAAAACTTTTTTTTTATCCGTTGCAGAGCAAAGACAAAAATTTCATCCATCTGTCTGTCTCGTGAAATGTATAAGTTGAAATATAAGAGAGGTACGGACTTCAGTTTTGGTGTTTGGCTCCATCTTGGCGTGAGAAAAGTCACTATTGAAAATTGGGTTGCCATGGCAAAATCCAAGATGGCCACTGCCATATACTTCAACCACAGCTAGTGTTTGAGGAAACTATATGCTTTCCAGTTTTATATTACTTAAAAGTATAGTTACCTCAAATGATTGGGGTAGCCGAAGATTATTCTGTGGGCCAAGGCCACCATTGGCCATCTCCTGGCTCCACCACTGGACCTGCTGGTGGATAAAACTGCCCCCTCCACTCTCCAGGGTCCGTCACTCTGCGCCGCCTCAGACAAGATAAAAAAAATCTCCCTCTGTTCTTCTCCACAGAGTAACTCCTCTATTTGAACATCTTGCAGCAAAAACGTTTAGGTTTACTTCATTTTCTGTTCAGTTCCAGTCCAGAAAAACACTCGTTTCAAAAACTACAAACATTCAGACCCCTCAGTGACTGGGACATTGGCGTACTGCTTGTTTATGCTGACTTTAAGCTTCAACAACTCCAACTGTTGGGGTGGGGGTGGGAGACCTGGTTGTTTGGTGGGAATGTCCAAAACCTCTGATGGACCCGAGGTCAAAACGGCAAAAGAGAATTGTTTAATCATCCCTGTAGTTTTAATGTTTTTTTCATATTTTTAAATCCTGAGACAAACAAAGGAAATGACAAACATCGGCCCGGTCACTTTCTTTGACTCTCTGCTCCGAACGGTTCTGGTCCAGTTAACGTGACGTTCTGTGCATTCACTGCAGACAACATCTGCTCACACACCGAGGTCCTGCCTCGTCTGCCACACATCAAACCACTTCTTATTCCAGATGTTCAGAATGTAACTTCCTGAATGGTTTGCACTTTTTGTTGCTGCCGGGTCCTGTCGAGACGTCACTGGTTATCCTGAGGATGATGGGTAACAAGCGGTTGTTTATCTGGCTCCACTTGTTTGACACAGTTTGAGGTTTAGAGAATTCAACCAGATCCTTCTGGGTGTGAATGTTTATGAAGCATTTACACAGAGATCTATTTTTCTTCCGTACGTTTTTCAGCATCTTTCTTGTTCCACAATTTTTTTGTGCTATTTCAGCAAATCATAATTCAAAACGTTCGGCTCATTCAGCAGAAGGGTGCTGTGACTTTTGGTATTGGTGCAACTTTAGCTTTTTGAAATATTTAGCCTTTTCTGCCATTTTTTTTTTCGTCATAGAAAATGAACGGAGCTCATTTGACATCCTTCAAATCATTAGATGTGTTTACAACCTTTTACTGCTCCTTTCACATTTTGTTCTGTTTCAGCTTCTGTTTGTAATTGTAAACTGTTTTCAGCTTTTTTGTGATCCTCTTAGATTATTTCTGCTAACTACAACATTTTTGTGCTTCTTCTAACTTCTTTCTGCTAATTTCAGCTTGTTATGCTCCTTTCAGCTTATTTATGCAAGTTTCAGCCTTTTCTGCTAGTTCAGCTACTATTTAGCCGTTTTTATGCTAATGTTTTTTTTAGCTAATTCCACATTTTTTCGCACTCATTTCAACTTTTTTCAGCCTAATTCAGCAAAAGTGTTCTCTCCCCACTTCCCTCTAGTCATTTAAGCTTCTTTCTGATTTTTTAGCTACTTTTCAGCTTCTGTTTTTTTCCAGATATTTTCCACTTTTTTTTAGCTAATTTCTGCTTCTTTCAGCCTAATTGGGCAATCATGTGTTCTTTCTGCTTTCATATGCTAACTTAATCTTCTTCTAGCTTTTCAGCTACCTTTAAGTTCATTTCAACTGTTTTCAGATAAATTCAAGTTTTTCATGGTAATTTCTGATACTTTCAGCATAATTAACTTTTGTCTACTAATTTAAGTTTGTCATGTTCCTTTAAAGTTATTTCTGCTACTTTCAGCTTTTTCTGCTATTTCAGCTACTACTGAGAAAGCTGTTTTTATGCTGATTTAATCTTTTTCAGCAAATTCCACATTTTTGGGCTCATTTCAGTATTTTTGCTTCCTTCTGGTAGTTTAAGCTTTTTTAATGTATATTTTTTCAGTTACTTTTCAGCTCTTGTTGCTAATTTCAACTTTATTTTTTTTTTAGCTAGTTTCCTAATTTTATGCTAATTTCTCCTTATTTAAACCTACTTCAGCAAATATGTTCTTTCTGCTTTCTTTTAATAACTTGGGCTTGTTCTCCCATTTCAGCTACATTTCAGCATTTTTTAAGCTAATTTCAGCTGTTTTTCAGCAAAGATCTTCTGCAATAAGCTTTAACTGCATTTTTGCAGTTTCTCTAGTTGAGGTTGTGATTGTGCGCCTCAGACAGTTGTATCAGACTTTGTGTGAGTAAAAACGATGCAGCTTGGTTAGAACCTGTCTCACCCTCGTCTCCTTGCTGTTTTCCCTGCAGGCCACGGGCGTGAGCGAGGACCAGCTTCTGGTCACCGTCCTCCCAGGGTTACCCACAGCAGCTGAGTTTTTCCTCCTGCCCGACAAACAGAAAACTGAAGGGAAACCAGAGAAGAGCTCGGCTCATTTAGATCAGGTGAGGCAGCAGCGCCGCTCCTCCTGGACTTCTGAACATTTTGTTGTTTCTTGATGTCACCTTGTCCTTCTCGCTCTAACTCCACCTCAGTGCAGAGCTCCGTTTGCCTTTCTGTTTATGACTCATAGAGAAGCTCCTCATGGCAGCAGCTTGTCCATGCTCCTTAAAATAAAACCTCAGCTCAGTTCCTCCTTCTACCAGCAGATGCCAGAATTGCACTTCCATACCCATGAGTCTAGCATGAACATGTGGACTCATTATATCGCCTCCTTATGAGGAGGAATGAATTTTAAACAGTCGTATCCTGTCCGGTGAGGCAGAGCCGCCGTAAAACCCAGACAATAAAAACATCCAATCAACGAGAACCAAAATGACTGTCGATGTCACAAAACATGATTAGGCCAGAGAAGGAAATCAGTTGCAGTTTTCCTTTTTCCTTCCTGCTCCATCTTCTGCAGACCTCCATAAATCTTCATCCCAAAGTTCACACAAGTGTGGAGCCGACTCTGCTTATTAGGATGTATAAGAGATTTACTGACCCTGGTGTACGTTGTGAATAGGTAATTAGTCAAAGCGTAGACTAAATTTAAACAGTACAAAGGGGAAAGGACTAAAGAAATTATTCATTTCACTATTAATTTGGCAAATGAGGCAGATAAGATAAATGAAGTTTCTGCAGCAGAGAGAGAGAAAAAAAGCATCTGCACACAAGAAACATATTGTTTTATTATTCGGCTCATACAGGCTCGTTTCAGGACACCAGAATAATACTGAACTCTTTATTTTTAAGGTATATACAGTCTGACCCCAAATAGAGGATTGTACATGTGTAAATGAAAAGATCTGTGTTGGAAAAATTAGATCAAACCAGATTTTTATTATTTTTGTAAGTCAGTTGTCTCACATGAGCACATCCATCCATTATTTTTATCAGTTCGGTTTAAATCAGACCAAAGTGTCTCCCACTTGTCTGAAGCGCAGAGATCAGGCCGGGCTGTGTGGTGATCAGGTTTGTTATTTAAAGTGGTAACTAGAGAAATTGCATTTCCTGCAAAAACGCAGTGTGATTACTTATTGCTGAAGAACTTCCTGAAAAACAGCTAAAATTAGCTTAAAACACTCTGAAATGTAGCTGAAATGGAAGAACAAGCCTAAGTTATCAGAAGAAAACAGAAAGAACACATATTTGCTGATTTAGATTTAAATAAGAAGAAGTGAGCACAAAAATTAGGAAATTAACTAAAAAAGCTGAAATTAGCTAAAATGAAATGGCTGAAAAGTAGCTGAAAAGGCAGAGAGAAGCTTAAACAACCAGAAGGAAGTGGAAGTAGCTGAAATAAGTTAAAATAACCTGGAATTAGCTGAAAAGGCTAAATTTAGTACAAAACATCTAAATAGTAGCTGAAAGAGCAGAAAAAGCTGAAACTAGCAGAAAATATCTGGAAGGAGTATAACAAGCTGAAATTAGCAGAAATTACCACAAAAAATTAATTAATTGAAAACAGCTGAAATAACTAAAAAATGTCAAAAAGCTACAGCTCATTTACCATTTCCATTTACAATACATTAAAAATATGAAAACGTCCCAGCAGAGAATTGTTTGTCATGTGAGGCTGTGTTTAAGGACACTCACAAAAGAGGGAACAAATTACTTTTTGTATCCATTTTTCCTTACCAGAGGAACCACTAGTTTCTGCCAGATGGTACCAACCTGAATACTGGTTGCTCTGGATGGGTTGGGTCATTGTAAACCTGTATTGCCTTTTTTTTTTCCAGAACCTGACTGTACAGGTTTCACTTGTTGATGATCAATGACTTTACTACCTTGTTTGAACACCTGGGACAACTTGTTCCTGTCTCTGACTAGAAGGTTCCCCTACCATGAGACAATATTAAAGGAAACACTTTCAACCAGTGACCTGCACACCAACTACAAAATATGTTTGCTTCTTCTTGCTTTAATTCTAATTTTTAAACAGCTCTGCAAATAAATATTCCTCTGAAAATGATTTAAGTTTTTACCAGTCAGCTAAAAACTATATTGTTTAAATTGTGTCTCCTGTCTCTGCAGCTCTCTGAAGTTTTGCTGAGTGCCTTGAATCAGAATCTTGTCCAGTTCACGTTGCGGCCGGGCGTCCAAGTCACAGTGTACACAGCTCACCTGTCAGCAGGTAAACAAACACAACGGTCTTGGTTTAGTCCAGGAGGACCTTCAGTAGTGAGTGGGACAAACAAACAGCATGGGGACTTTTAATAGACACAGTGGACAGTCAGGTATAACTTTCATATTTTTATTGCCCCACCACTCAACTAATAACCCCACCCCTGTGTCTGATTGGCTCCCACCATGTAGCTACACAGAGACATTCAGAGAGTGAGAACCGTTACACGTATGTGTGCCTCTTCCTATTGGGGATGCTGCTACTTTTAGGATAAAGAGTAAGAAGAGTCCATATATTAAACTGATTCATGATTCACATGGGTGTCATTTCTGTTCACCACTCATTGCATGAGTCAGCAGGTGCAAATACAGCCCGGCTCAGCGGTTGTGTTGCTGATGGCGTGCGGCGCTTGTCTCCCTGTCTCTGCAGCGCCCCTTGTGGACACCGGTGAGAACCACAGCGGCTCTGCCATGCTAATGCTGCTGTCGGTGGTGGTTGCAGGGTTAGCTGTGTTTGTCATCTACAAGTTCAAGAGGTAACGTTTTCCTGAGGTTCCGTACAGTGATCATGTTGTGCCCATTGGTAAAGAGGTCAGTAGGGATGCACCAATACCAGTAATGGGTGTCTGTTTGGTACGGTGTATACCTACAATATACCCCTAACATGTGCCAATATGGTAGTACCAAATGCCAGTTTGATTTCAAACACATTTTCAAAAGAACTTTCGAAGTGTCCATCCAGCCGTCATCAATCTGTTATTTCCAGTTGTCTCAAAGTCAGGTCTCGAGGTAGTAGCTTGAGCAGGGAGGTCCAGACGTCTCTGTCCAGAGCCACCTCTTCCACCTCTTCTGGGAGGACTCCAAGGTGTTCCCTCACCAGCTGAGCGACATAGGCTCTCCAACATGTCCCAGGTCTTACCCTGATTCTCTTCCCAGTTGGACATGACACAAAAACTCCCTAAGGAGGCGACCAGGGGACAGCCTTACCAGATGTCGAAATCACTTGAATAGGCTCCTCTGGATGTGGAGGAGCAATTCAATTCAGTTCAGTTTATTTGTATAGTTCCAAGTCACGACATAAGTTGTCTCAGGGCACTGTACAGAAACATTACATTATAAAAGACGATTCTTAAAAGTTATCTATCTAAGGAAGCCAGGAGATTGCGTTGAATCTTGACATCGTCTGAGCCTCCCATCCTGAGCAAACACAAAGGAGAGAGTGGAAAGGAAAAACTCCCTTTTAACAGGAAGAAACCTCCAGCAGAACCAGGATCAGGACGAGTGGCCATCTGCTTTGACCGGATTTGAGAGGACAGGAAGTAGAAACAGACAAACACAGGTCCAGATGTATTTTCTATAAGAGGAAAGACAAAAACACATGTAAATATATAAATAATTACAAATACAAACAGGTAGAGAAGAGCAAGTAAAGACAGCAGCAGAGTGAGGAAATGTGGTCAATTTGTCCTCCAGCAGTCTGAGCCTTTAGTAGCGATTCTACTCTGAGTCTCTCCTGGAGAACTAAACTTCTCACCTGATCTCTCAGGGAGAGTCCAGCTACCATGAAGAGAAAACTTATTTGGACCTCCTGGCTCCAGGATCTCATTCTTTCAGTCTCTACCATAGTTCATGACCATAAATGAGGGTAGGAATGTCAGACTGACCAGTAAACAGAGAGCTTCTCCATGCAGCTCAACTCCCTCTTCACCACAACGGACCAGAACAGAGTATGCAACTGTAAGAGTTGCAACTCAACATTTGGAAGTACTCAAAATAAGTACTGGTTCTAGATAAAAAAAGAAGAAAAAGTTGTATTGTGCATCCGTACAGTTGCCAAAAGGTATGGGAGTGTCCCGACAGCTCGGAAAACAAAAGCTGCAGGCGAGGCTGCAGAAAAGGTTGATAGTTGTCTGTCAAAGCAACACGTCTGTCCATTTGTTCGACTTTTCCCCTCAAACATCTGTGGGGATCCTGTCGAAATGCTTGTCAGGTCATTCCCCACAAAAAGAAATGCCATTCAACCTTCAGCTGCTATCAATATTAAGGCCTTTGAAAGGAGGCAGCTGACCTTTCTGAAATGTTAACGTGTTTCCTTGCTGAGGTGGAGCTCCAAGGGAAACAATGTGAAGGGTCAGGATGAGCTACAGAAGTACAACAAAACATGAAACATTATTAAAGGTTATAAGTCCTTGTATCTGTTAGTGTCATAAGATCTGAATACCCAGAGTGAAAGGGAGCTGAGAATGAACACTCCACACAAGAAGCTCAGTTCAGTGCTTTTATTTACACTGCAGCAAAGTTTGGAACTAGACTGGATCCCTGGGGAGCAAGGAAATGTAATTAATCTCAGGTCACTGGTATTTAGAGTCTTTACTCAGAATTTACAGTTCCTTACAGGTTGGTGGTGTTAGGTCTGTCTTGGTTCCAGTCAGTAACAGTCCAAGTGATGGTCCGGAGATCACTAGTGAGCACGTAGTAGGAGACACATGAGAACAGATGGAGGGCGTAGGCAAGGATCCAAGTATTTGGTTTTGGTACAGGTTTCACTGGAGGTACTCAGGCAGTCACATTGGAGGAGTAATCACAAGTATTAGTACACACAAGGCTCAGGAAAACACTAGACGGCTGAGAGCATGAACCATAGGCGAGGCAATGCTCCAGCGTTGGATGAATGTCTTCTCGGCCTTAGATATGCCAAGAGTTCATTAGAGGACGGGTTGCAGCTGTCGGAGTAGAGCGACCTCTGGTGGAAAAACACTGGAACTACTACATTTAGATCCTTTTTACCCGTCAGTCCTTGAACATGTGGTTGTTGCAGATTATCTGATCTGTTTTAGTTTAGGCTTTGGGTTTTATCCGTTTGCCTCACTGTAAATCTTTCCTCAAGGAAGATCCCAGGCCTCAACGTCTATGCGCAGATGCAGGACGAAAAAGAACAAGAAATGACGAGTCCAGCTGATCCAACAAAGGCCACGCCCAGCTCACGGCAGGACCTGGTGCCTTCTTTGGAGATCCTGGACACCGAGTTCAACTCACGGCCCATCGGTGAACACCGTCACACTCATCTGTCGCTCACATTTCCTTCTGTTTTTCATCCCACTGTTCTGTTTCACATCGTGTTGACACGACTCTCATTCTGTGCTTTCTGTTGTGTTCCTCAGTGAAGTGGTCCGGACTACAGAAGGACTGAACAAAGCCGAGCATGTGAAGCAGTACAGAGGATTCTGAGTGGTACGGTTAAACACACTGCCCTCCTCTGTGCTGCTGGGCTTCAGTCACTGCCAGAAAACATGAATAAATACAGCAAGTGCAGCTTCTGAAGAACACACGTCTGTTTTTGTTTTTTTAGATCTGCTGGATATTAATGCACCATCGTTAACATCATTTCATCCTGTTTTATTTTATTTATTTTTTGGTTGGTTCCTGCCACTTGCCACATATCATGGTTTGTTTTTTGATTAATGTCTTTGTGTCACTTACAGGTTTTCTGTAGATATTTCTAAATAACACAATGTTTTTACAAGTGCAGCACATTGGGAAAGCATTGTTTTCTTTAAATTCTCCTACAAATTTGCATTTAATTTTATGTCAAGTTGTACAATATTTAGTTGAGTTTAAAATGTTTTTTTTTCTCAACATTGCTATACTTTTACTAGTTAAAAACAATTTTACTGTAAAGTGCCACAGTTCTTGAATTGTGGTACCACTTAAAGTACTTGATCCTACCATAGTAATATCAAAAAATACTACTACTCCAACAAAATAACAATTTCACACAACTTCCTTTATTTACTTCAGCATAAACACTAAATGTTCAGTGTCTAAACGTCCAAAACTCAAGTTTGTTTCAAGTTTATTTAGGATATAGAAAAAAAAAACTAGTAAAAGCAAATAACAACAAAGCACAAAAAAAAAAAAAGAAAATCAACAACAACAACAAAAATGTTTGATAAAACACATAAAAAGATAATTAAACAATAAAACAGTACATGTATATTTAATATTTTAAAAAAATTATATATATAT